AAAGGAAAGAGCGGAAGTCATGCAGCAATCTGGGATTGGGGACACGACATGAGATGTGGGATAACACTCCTAAAACGCAGGGCTATGCCTGGAAGCCAGGCCTGCATTCCCAAAACAATCAGCAACTCCTCTGTTTTCCTCGCAGCTGAGGGAGGGTGGAGCTGGGGTGGGGTTTTAAGGGCTGGAGGTGGGACTGTGAGGTGAAGCACTCGGCAGCTCCCGAACCCCGGGATGAGACATTTCTCTGGAAAAATAGAGAGGAGACATCAACAGCCAGCACTGAACACCCCCACGGTAACAGCAGCCACCAGGAAGTGACAAATCACTTATCTGAGGTAAAAAGTGGGATTTTCTGCAAGTCCCTCAAGGTGTCTTGTTTTTAGGATCATGGAATATCCCAAATGGGAAAGGACCCACAAGGATTGAGTCCAACCCCTGGCCCTGCACAGACACCCCAACAATCCCATCGTGTCCCTCAAGCTTTGTCCAAACGCTCCTGGAGCTCAGGCAGCCTTGGGGCCGTGTCCACTGCCCTGGGGAGCCTGGTCAGTGCCCAACCAACTACCCTCTGGGAGAAAAACCTTTTCCTAAAATCCAGCCTAACCCTCCCCTGGCACAGCTCCAGCTGTTCCCTCAGGTCCTGTCCCTGCTCACACGGAGCAGAGATCGGAGCTGCCCCTCAGGAGGAGCTGCAGCCCCCTGAGGTCTCCCACCAGTCTCGTCTCTTCCAGCTGAACAAGCCTCAGTTGCTCCTCGTGCGGCCCCTCCAGACCCTTCCCCATCCTTGTGTCCCTCCTTTTGGACCTCCAAGAGCCTTTTTACAGAATCTCAGAATCCCTGAGGTTGGAAAAGCCCTCCCAGCCCATGGAGTCCACCCTGTGCCCCATCCCCACCTCGTCCCCCAGCCCAGAGCACTCAGTGCCACAGCCAGTCCTTCCCTGGACACCTCCGGGGCTGGGGACTCCCCCACCTCCCTGGGCAGCCTCTGCCAAGGCCTGAACAACCTTTCCATGGGGAAATTCCTCCTCACGGCCAACCTGACCCTCCTGTTGGGAGCTGAGAGAAGATCCTCCCTGAGCCTCCTTTTCTCCAGTGATCCCTCACAGGACTCACCCTCCAGCCCCTTCCCTTCTTGGGACTCTTTATCTCTGAGGAGCTTATTTTCCACATCCCTCCAAGCCCAAAATCCAGCTTTTCCTCACCTGTTTGAGCTTCAGAGCAGCCTGGACAGACGGTCTGTTCTCCATCTGCTGGGCCAGGCGTCTGTTTCTGGCGCTGGCCAGCTGCTGCTGCTGCATGGTGGCCCGAATATTCACCGGCATCGGCTGTTTGTTCTTCAGCATGTTAGTGAAGCTTCAAGGTCGAATAAAACGGGGTTTAATTAAAGCTTAAAACACACAATTACTGGCATTTCACGGTGCTCGAGTGGGTCTCCAGCTCCCATGAACCTTATGCAAAGAGTGGTACTTTTATGGGATTACGGATTCCTCGCTTGCCACGAGGACTGGAAAAGGCAGGAATGAGGTGGAAGTTCAGTCAGGATGAGAAAGCTGGAGGTTTAGTGGGTTTAGAGGTGGCAGAAGGGGTGACAACCAGCAGGAAGCAGGGATGGCCATGACAGGTGGGAGAAACGGGACAGCAAAAGCCAAATTAATCCCCCAAAATCTGAGAAAAGCCTAAAAACTCCAGGCCAGGAGGCAGGTTAGAAGGACACTGTGCCCTGAAATGCCTGGTGTGCTCTGGCACTGCGGGAACCAGGTTGGAAATGATCACTTTTAAGGCTTTTCCAACATCAAATAATGCCATGATTCTACAAAATTCCACCACCCAAAGCACCTCCTAATTTCCACCCAACTGTTTTCCTGAAATGAGGCCACTTGAGAATTTGTTTGGTGCTTTTAGTGCTTAATTTAAGAGCAAGCACGCAGTGAGATGGTAAATAAAGCCCCTGAACAGCATCCTGGGAGCTGAAGAGTGGAATAAATCCCCTAAAAATGAGGAATATGGGCTGATGTGCCAGTAAGCTCAGCCTACAGCTCCCTGCAGCGCTGCTGGAGCAAGAACTGCCCCAAAACTTCTCAATCATAAGAGAATTAACCCCAAAGTGCTCAGCAGGGCAGCGAGACACCCGTTAGTCGTCACAGAGGAGCCACACGTGGAAAACCAGCGGAATGACCCACAGGAAGAGCACGAGGACAGAGGAGAGATGGAGGTGAAGCGAAGCATTTGCCTCTTACAAGGCCCAAAGAGCCTTTGGGCTGGTTCCAGGGGCCACCACCGGCCTCTTACAGGGCTCACCCGGGCAGGTGGGACCCTCGGGCGCGGCGGCCGGGCCAAAATACCAATGTCAAAAACATGTGGGAGAGACAGGGAGGGTGCGTGAGGTTGGTCTCTGCTCTTACAACACATCCCACCGCATTTCCGTGGCACGCGAACATTAAACCACGGAGCAATCCCTCCGCAACTGGGCCCTTTTAACCCACTGTGCCACCGGACCTGGAGGCGAAGGCAGGTGTGGAGGCACCTGCTCGCTCGACGAGGTTAAAAGAGGGCGGGACCCACGGTGGGCTTGGATTTGGGCAGTGAGAATTAAGTATAAAAACATGGTTTCTTAGGAGCTGAAGGTGCCGTTGGCTTCCTCACCGCTCGTTCAGAGACATCTTGGTGGTGCTCTTTAGCACGACCTTCGGTGCTGACTGTGCAGCCATCTTCAGAGAATCTGCAAAACAGGGCCAAAAGGGAGAATTTACACCTTTATTCTAAATTTCTACTGTTAAATATTAAATAATCCCTCCATTTTTGTCCCTTGAGTGGAGAAAAAAAACCAACCTACCCCACTCCTATGTGTAATATATTATTTTTAGTGTTTTCTAGCCCTTTGCCAAAATTTTTAGGTTCTGATTGTGATGATTTTAGAGACTGTGTGATTTTTTAATGTTTTGTAGCCCCCCTGCCAGTTTTAATAAATCAAGGAGCGACTTTAACTCATCCTTACCAAAAATTTATCTTTTTGTAGTGAATATTTTGCCAATATTAAGAATAGTAATACAAAAATCCAGCAGCAAGATGGCAACCAAGTGGCACCTTCAGAGAAAAATTTTCCAAACAAAGCCAAAAATATCAAAATTATACGATTATATGCTTATATGGTTAAACGTTAAAAAATTCTCCATTCTGGGTGGAGAGAACTGAGAGGCAGGTTATGGGTATAATAATAACAGACTTTTAGTATTTTCTAGCCCTAATAAATCAGGGAGTTACTTTATTTCACCCTTACTAAAAAGGTGTCTTACAGTGAATATTTTCCTATTATTTGGGGTAATAATACAAAAGTCCAGCAGCAAATGGCAACCAAATGCCTTTAGCACAGTAACACCTCCACATTTCCCACGTTTTTAGCATCAGCAAGAGGCGAATCCCAATTTTAAGGGCACAGGGTGTAAAATCGGGAATAAAAATCTAAGATTATGCTACACAAGCATCATATCCTTTAAAAATACCGAGGTTCCACCTGACTCAGGGCAGGGATTTAAATCCCCCCCAGTGCTGGATGCTACGGAAACGTGCTGAGCTCCAACCCCCGAGCTCTGCAGATCGATTTATTAATTTATTTTTATAATTAGCACCAAATTTAACGGGTGGGTGACCGGGCCGCGCTCACCCTACAACACCCTCAAACCCTCGCTTTTTGGAGAGGATTTACAGCCAGAAATCGAGCCAACCGGCAGCCTCGCTCCTGTTTTTAATTATTTTTAATAATTTTAGTGGGCTTTTAAAAATATAAAGTGGTTTTTAAGCCTTTTTTTTTTCTTGAGTGACCGTCGCGGGGGTATCCCCGCTCCGCCCCCGTCAGCCCCGAGAACAGCTCCGGGCACGGAGCCGGAGGAAGAGGGACCCCCCCCCAGAACCCTGAGGGGACCCTCCGGAGCTCTAAGGGGGCCCCGAGGCCTGTCCCGCCCCCTTCCCCCACGCCGGGCAGTCTCTCACCGAAGCAGAGCGGTCGCAGCGTCTCCGGTGGCTACGGCGGGCGGGCAGGTGTTACGGGCCGGTGTGGGGCAGGCGCGGGCGACGCCGGCCGCGCCGCGGGCTGGCGCTGAGCTCGCCCCTCCCGCACGCCGGCCGCCGCTTCTCCCTCAGCGCCCGCGACAAAATGGCGGGCCGGCGCTGCTCCCGCCCCCCCGAATATGGCGCCGCAGCGCTCCGGCGCACCTGCCAACGCGCTCGCGAGCCACGCAAGGAGAGCGCTGATTGGTGTTCCCCCGGGAAAGGAGGGGGGGGGGCAGATGAGGGGGGGAAACTATGGTATCCGTGGACGTCATATTGACGTGATGACGTCACGTGGATCGGGTGTCGTCATGGAATCCTGGGAGCAGGGAATCATGGGATTGTGGAATGGTGGAGTCATACAATCATGGTATCGTGGAGTCGCAGAATCATGGAATCGCAGAATTCTGTGGAATCACGGAATTGCAGTAGCATCATCACAGAATCAAGGAATCGGGGATTAATAGAACCATGGAATCACAGAATCATAAAATTATGTAATCCTGGAATCATACAGAATCATGGAATCATGGAATATCCTGAGTTGGAAGGGACTCAAAGAATCGTCCAGTCCAGCTCCTGGCTGTGCACAGGATCCCCCCAACCCCCCCCCAAAACCCCACCAAAATCCCACCAAAATTCCAACCTTGGAATGTTGCCCAGGTGCTCCTTGACCCCTAGGGACTCCATTCCCATTCTCCTCTGAGGGCAGACCCTTTCCCAATCCCACCCCAGCCCTGCTGTGCCGGGATTCCTGGCAGATGATGGCGCTGGTGGCCCTGTTGGGGCCATTGGCTCCCAGCCCATCCCACTGGGATCCCAACCGGTTCCTCCAGCCTCACGGGTGTGGTCCTGGAGACTCCGGAGGCTCCAACAGCGAGTCCTGACCTGTCACCCCCCAAATCCCGGTGTCCCCGTGTCCCACATCCCAACACTGCCCGGGATCACCCGCTCCCTGGGGCGATCTAGGATGGATTTCAGGCTCCCTGGATGGATCAGGGTGGAGCCAGGGATGTCTGCAGGCACTTGGGGTGACCCTGGGTGGCTTGGGAGAGGGAAAACTCCTTGGAATCCCTGGAGGCTCTCGGAGGGGGACGCTGGGAATGAAGGAGCTGCCAACACACCCAGGCTGGGTCGGTGCCTTTATTGTGTAGCTGGATCCCGCGGGATCCCGTGGGAATGCTGGGGAGCGGAGAGGGGGTGGCAGGGGGGTGTCTGGATTTTGGGAATGCCGTGTGTGCAGGGTGGGAGCACAGCAGGTCAGGCATTCTCCCAGAAGAAGGTGTTGCAGGCCACGGTCAGGGCGGCCACCAGGACCACGAACTCCTGGAAATCCACCTCCCCGTCGCCGTTCTCATCCAGGTCCTGCATGATCTTCTCCACGGCCCCCGTGTCCTTTTGGGTCTGGTGGGGGGGCACAGGGTGAGCACAGGGGGAAAGAGGGGAAGGGGAGACCCCCCCAGTGCTGCAACTGGTCCCAGTTACCTCCAGGAAACATCCCAGCTCACTCTGCAGCAGCTCCTTGAGCTCCTTCTTGCTCAGCTTGTACTTGTCCCCCTCCTTCCCAGAGTAGTGGTGGAAGACGTTGATGAGGGTTTCCATGGCCCCTTCCAGCTGTGACGCCATGGATCTGGCTGTGAGAACCACCCCCCCCGTCATGGGGG